CAACTATATGACCTTTAAGGCCCATTGCATCCCCTTAATATTCTCTGATTTTATGACCAAGTGTAAAAATACCATCTTCCCTACTAAAGATAAAAAGAATTTTATTTTTAATTGAAAGTATTAAGTTTTTAGATCTCCAGTGAGAGACAATTAAATTGGAAGTGTTAACACATGGTTGATGTTCAATGCTTTATAAATTAGCATTATTTAAATCCACGAAGCTGTGAAAGCAATAAATCAGTTAAATTTGAGAAAATATGACCCAATTTGCTGAAAATTAGGCAACTGTATGAACATTCAAGATGAGTTTTGCATTTAAACAAAAACAAAACCATGGATCTCTTCTTCCTCTTTCTCTATTTTTTTTTGCTTTGCTTCTACTTCATTTTGCAAGCAGTTTTCATTCTATGGACACCAAAAAAGATCCAATCAACTATTTGAGCATAAACCTTTGCCTACTAGACTGTCATCAGCACAAAGTCCCCCAAATAATAAATGAACTTTTTATTAACTGTGGTAACATTAACATTACAATGAGGGATTGTTTAAAAACAAGTTGTACTGCTGTTGCTCAAGAGCTCAAAGAAAATGGTTCTCAGCTCCTTTATTTTTCCTTGAGGGTAACCACAGGGGTTGCATTAAATCTTTTAAAATATGTTGACAGTTGAATAAGTGCTGCTGTTGCTCTGGTGACATTTTATGCTTTTTAATTGTCATTAATGAAGCTGACTGATACTTTCTTAAAAGTCCTTTACGTGTTCTAGTAATTTTATGACAAAGAGAAGAACAAAACCGTCTGCAAATTAGCCTTGATCCACTTCTCATATGGAATTTTCACTGGAGACAATGGAAGAGTCTGCATGGGAAATATCTGCCAGACCAGATATTTGAGGTAGGAATGCATTAAACGTTCCCAATAGATTATGAAATTATCACTTCGTTGTGCATCACCATAAAAACTCGAAGGTTTGTTCGAGTGTATTTTAAAAAATAAGTACTAAGTCTGCTTTCATTAATTCAGAATTTTATGTTAAAATGGTACAGCCCAACATTTTAGGGTTGCAATAATCCAAAAATAAATTTGAGATGGTATGAAACAAATTCAAACACTAACCTGGGGTCTAATAACTCCTTCCTGATTCTGATAATACTCCCACTGACTTGAGAAAGCATTTTCCCCTGTAAAGACTGAACGATACAGCTCCCAATTATCTGCTCGGGAACATGCAGTAAGAAAGAGGAATGCACATAGTTTGAGAAACTGCAGGCACCATACTTGATAGTTCATAAACAGATAAGGTAAGTCTTTTGCTATGGAGAGAAAACAAACTATGGTGCTTTAATTATGATCAGTGATTAAGTAGATTAAGAAAGATCTATTCCAAGGACAAGGAGTCAGAAGAGCTGGGGGGAGGGAGAATAGTACACCAATGGTGTAGGGTAACATGCTGAGTCCTTTACTTCCCCCATCCCAAGTTCCCTCACACCTGCATCCTCCACGGCAACACAGTAGATGATTCCCCAACACTGCTGCATCTGTCGCACCACAGGCTTCACACCTTTGCAATTTCAGAATCAGAAAAAGCTGGAGCCATCTTTCTTCTTCAACTGCAGTGGCTCTACAAGTGCAGATGCTGTACAAATATTGATGGTTTGAACCATCACCGTTGAACAGGACAACTGGGTCACGTCAAATTATTCCAGGCAAACTGAGAGTCCCTTTGCCTGACTCTCTGCAGGCCCAGTGCCGTCTATAACCACGTATACCTGCGCATGGCACACAGTTCAGCTTCAGCCTGACCTTTTCTTTCAGCTGAGTAAATGGCTATACAAGGTGCAAAGCAATAGAAATCAGGCCTCAGGGTTCTGTACAGCGCTGCAATTTTCAAGGCACTCAGGGTGCAGACAGCAGTAAGTTCCACACTCACGTCATACGCACAGTTAACAATCTCAGCTAAGTCATGAACTACATTTTAATTAGACAAGGGGCCAGGCTTTTGATTTCAAAAATAGAAGTTAGGGTTGCAGTCCTTCATCCATTGAAGTTAATTGCAAAATCCCCATTATCAGGCTCTTGAGGTATTACCCAGGCGTACTTTTTAATTACATTTGATTCTTAATGAAGTCGATGGCAAAGAGAAAAGCAGCCCATGATTCAAATGATTCGCATTTTTATCTTTCCTGATGAAAAACAGAATAGGTCAAGATACTTGCTGGATTTTCCCATGAGAAATGCTGCAGTGTGAATAAGCTCAATTGACTTGATCCTGAAGGAGCAGGTTAGCTTTGAAAAGCATCACTCATTTTCTCCTCCTGTATGCATTCTACCCCCAAAACTTATGTAATGTAATTGTAGACACCAAGCCAAATCCAATTCAGAACTTGAAATATATCATGTAAGTATCCTAAGTTTGAATGACTTGTCTTTATTGTCTAATGTCATTTAAAACATAAGGAGACCTAATTATAGTTTTATTTTCAAATGATGCACTTTAAAAGAGTGACAATTCTCCATAAAAACTGACAGCTTCTCAGGGCAAGGAGACGGCCAATAACTTGATATTCCTACATGATTTAAAAACAATAAGCTATGAAGCAGCTTATGAAGAAAGTGTGTTATCACACTTTGCTAGAGATTAACACAAAGTTTCACCTTTTTCTCTTTTACCAGTATTCATGGAAATGAACAGATTTATAGAACATAAGTTCATATTACAGGTGGGGCCATTACCTTGTTATACATAACAACCTGCAAACTCTTCTGACATAATGAAAGCTGTTTCTTACCATCTGGAAATCAAGTTTAAAAATAAAACTACTGTTGACATATTATACAAAAAATTTTTATTTCAGACATAGTTCTTATATTATAAAGGACATAATTAATTTCTTTTATGACTTCAACAGACCCATTAAAAATTTTGGACTTCAAAATGGTTTTTTTGTTGGGGTTTCTTTGTTGTTTGGTTGGTTGGTTTGGTTTTTTAAGGTTTGATTGTGGGTTTTTTTTTTTTAAAGGTTGACTGTTAAGTATCAGGGAAAGTAAAATACCAGTTTTGAGATAATCAGATAGTATTGCAAGGCTCTGGTGACACTTTACCTTAACTTTCACCAAGGCTAGAGACTCATTTTCACTCATGCAAAGCATCACTTTAAAATCAAGGAAAGGACACAGGACAGTCAACTACTGTACATGATATTTCAGAAACAGGTCTAACCAAGGCAGCCAAGCAGGGTTACAGCAGGAACCAGTGAGGTGAGGCTGCATCCCCAGGGTCAGCACAGAGTGGCAGGGCTCTTGGGGCCCAAAAGCTCACCAGATCAAGGGGTCACTGCAACATAAAGCTGTCATAGCACCTTTTAAAGGAAGGAGGGACAACATCCTTCCAGAGAGGAACAGAGGAATTAAGATTTTCATTCAGTTTTTTTTTTAAATCCCTAGATTTGGGGTCTTTTGCCCTATGGGTGCTTCAGTGTTTCAGACTCGCAGGATACCTGTGATGAAAAACAAATCTCGAGTCCATGTTAAAACCATTTGCCCCTCATCACGATTCTTTCCCATTCACAAGGTTGAATAACACAAAACCTGAACACTTCCTACTTCATGGTCATACCAGAGATCAGGGGAAGCCTGCATTACTTTTAAGGGCATTAAGCAGATGATGTGGAAATCCAAATCAGCCTGTTCTGCATAACTGTGGCAAACCTGCAGTGCAACACACAACCACAGCCAAACCTCCTTCTGTGCTGAGTTGTCCAGAGCAGTTATTGCCCACACTATCTAAGCAAGGAAAAGAAATTCACACCTCTACTTCTTCACTTGGCAGTTCCCTCTTGGAATCAATTCCTACTATTGCTTTTACTATAACCATGCCATTTTACACCTAGTAAGTATTGCACTCATCAGTTTAGGGCCCTATACTCTATAATATACACCACCTTGTACTGATCAGTCTCTGGGTGGTATTTGTGGAAGGTCTAACTTGGCAGGTCTCCTTCTGGGTGTCTCTCAGTCTCATGATTACATAGTTATGATCACTGTGTCAAGTAGCAGTCTGAAATACTTACTAGTCATGATTATTTTTAAAGTGATTCTTAAAGACTGTTCAGAGCACACAGAATATTCCCATGGTGGTTGCAGGGCATCCCAACACTAATGAACCACACAAGCCATCCTACTGCAGACAGCATCAGGTGCAGGGAGTAGCAAGCATTCATAGCTCAAAGATAATCACCAAAAAGGCAGAATGCTCAAGAAAGTCAACACCCCTATAGTTACTGACAGAAAATTTCAGCTCAAATTTAACAGACACTGTAAGGTGAAGAACACACACATTCTGAAGTGGTGGCTAGAATCAGCATTTAAGACAGGGATTAACACTAGAAGAATAAATTACTATTAAAAGTAATACTGGGGTAATTGTAGCAATAAGGTACTGCTAAGAACTTCAGAAGTAAAAACAACTTTCTCTTGAAAATAGTAATTTTGATTGCTTGTTTACAATATGCAGGCATCAGTGATTGCTACATGCTACATACATCCTACACACTGTACAAAGTGCACAAGGAATGATGCTTTTTCAGAGGACTCTGTGCCTGGCTAACTATTTTGGTAAACCTTGAGGCAGCCTCATTTTCAGAGTATAAAGCGCCTCAGTTGGGCACTGAATGAAAGGAACTCAAATCATTCATAGCTTCCACTACATGCCATATGCTACCATCTTTCCCAAGCAAAATTAAGGATAAGAACCTTTGGTTGTTAGTAAGTCATAATAAGTCAAAACAAAGAGAAAGTCTTATTAATTAAGCATCTATAGCTATAGTTAGCTTCAGGTAAAAAACATCAAATTTAGGTTGACAGGTACGTTAGCAACACAAACCAAAATAATAATTGTGGACGTAGATCAAAAAGCCAGTTTATACTCAGTTATTGAACTTAAGGGGAAGAAGAAAATGTTCAATCATAATATTTGCTTAAGAATGTTTATCTTCTTTCTTACCATTGAACGTTAGGAACACCCTTGCTTGAGGCTGGGAAGATCCTTTTACACTGCTAAAGTAAATAAATATCCCAATCAACACGTGCACTGCAAGAAAGGCCATCTCTTCAGTTTTGCAACTTAATATCCAAGAAACAAAACCTGAAAGACAGAGATATTACATTACTCTTCTTATACAATTTTGTGGAGCAAAAACAACAGTATGGAAAGATCTGTGTTAGAAAGCTCTTCCAGTTGAAGCCATAAAAACTGATGTGAAGGAGGTACAGCACTTCTGTTTTCTCTGTATGTCTGAAAATGGTTTTCTTCAGCAGTCTTCTATGCTGGTACCAAAGGAGCTCTCTGCCTGTTCATAAGAACCAACAGAGCCCAAGTTTTGGTTAGGGTAGACTGCATCATCAGATTCAGTTTATTTAAAACGAGGACAATTCCACCTGCTGGGAATATAATTATACTAAATGTCAAGGCAGAGTAAAGCAAAGACAGGAGATAAAGTTTCATGAACAAAAAGCTGGTTGATATTTTTAGACATGTCTCCCTCATGTTCAGAGGGGGAGGTTTGGGAAATTGGTTGTTTGGTTGTTTTCTTTTAACATTTGAAATCAAAGGTTCTTGGAAATGAACTTTAAGTTTTTAGTAAGCTGAGCTCTCTAATAGCCTTTAGTTCTTCTTTTAAGAAGTCCTGACTACGTTCATCATGACTTTCAAAACATTGAAACCAAAAGTATTTCAACATGCTTGAAACTGTTAGTCAACATTTGCTTTTTGGGCTAGTTCGTTTCAGGATACTTACCTGCTCTCATAGACTTCTACAGAGCACTAAGAATCCCAGAGTTAGACAGTGCATTACACTTGATACTTCTGCTACCCCTCCTGCACATCTGCTGATTCTACATTCATTTTATAGGGTTTAGCTGCTGAGAAACCTGAACTTCTCAGAGAATGAGAAAATGGTCCAAAACTCTGCATCTTTTCATAGCTCAAGAAGGACTTGAGCTCACTGGAGTCATGGCACTTTCCTAACAATTCTAATGGACTTTGGACCAGATCCATAAAACCCAGCAGACATCAGAAGCTGAATATTACATATCTATATCATATCTGCTCCTAAACTGCATCTCTCCAAAAATTGTGAAGTGTGAATTTCATTTCACCTATCCTAACAACTTTGTCAGCTCAGCTCCAAAGGTGAGAATAAAAAACATCCTCATTTTAGGCCCATTCTACTTTGCTGCTTATATATATATATATAATATATATATATATATTGTCTTTTTGGTGTAAACAGCCCTTCTACTAGACACCACTTACTAGTTCATCAGTCAGGTGATATATTTGATTCTATGGCAACTGGAAGCACTTTGAAAGATACAACCCCCACAGCTAGAAGACAGCACTAAAAGCTATACATTTATTTCATTAAGAGATTTGTTGCCTGTGCAATCATCTTGCCTTTTACCTCAGCTCTGCTCCAGCACTACAGTCCCTCCAGCGGAAGCCAGTATTTCTACATGCCTGTTCATTCGGCCCCTCTGAGGTTCACACCTGTCCTTAAAGAACCGGCTGTAAGCATCACGGCACAGCAGGAATGAGCTGTCAGGCAGGGATGACTTTAGGTCACCACTGGTTTGGGTCAGATCCACACCACTGACTTAGCGGTAAAAGCCCCGTATCTCATTACTACCTCTGTCATTCCCGATCCACTCGCTGTAAATCACTTTGAAAGGTTTCTCTCTGCATGAGGACTTCATATAAAGTTGTGGGTGGGATGGAGAGCATGCAAGTGACCGCAGAGCTCTGCAGCCCACACCCTAGACTCCCCTTCATGATTTGCTCTGGAATACTGAGAAATGCACAGAGATCAAGTAATTCTACAACTCTGCTAATTGACAAAAACACCCGTGTCATAAATTTGCCAGCTACAGATTGGGTCTGTAGGAGAAATATATCCATTCTGGTCCAGTTCCAAATTATCTCTAAAGGTCTGTTAACTAATAAAACGATAGTTGCAGAGTTTTTGCCAAGAATAATTTTTAAACAGGCTGCATGAACTCTAGTACTAATGCTGCTTTGTGGGCTTTAAATTTAAAACCTTGTGACTAGCCCATGGGATATCCTTTTACTTACCCCTCTTTTAAGAGAGAAGTGGCATTAAATCCTGATAAAATTTCTTTGTCAGGCCAAAACAAATAGCCAATCATACAGAACATATGATTTAACAGATGCAATGGGATTAGTATTTTACAGTAGTAACACTATGCTTTCTTTGCAATAAAGATAAAAAGTCAAAGAGGAACAAGTGTGCAGATTTCCCCTTCCTTTAAATAATATTGTAGGAAATAATAATAGAAAGAAACCTCTTTCAGCACTCCTTCCCTCCCACTCTCGTGCCTCCTGCCAATTCCAGTGCAATCAGTTACAGGAGTGAAACATTGCTACATTTCATTGCTCAAATTGCAGATCTTCACCGTTAACACAGAAGTGACAGGCACATATACGATTCAAATGCTGAGCAGCATGGTTCCTACCCAGCTGTTGGACACATAAATAATATATGCATACAGTGCCAAAAAGGCACCTCAGGGTGCCTGACATGTGAGTTACCTAATGGAAATAGGTTTAATTTCAGAGATTTACAGAGCTGGTAACTGAATTGCAAGTTTGACTCTTTGGGCTTATATCCCAGTTCTGAATTTATCTCAGTAAGTCATGATGCTATATTCAGCATGTCCCGTGCACATGATCTCTGCTGACAACTCACAGACCTAAAACCTTGAAAGTACTTTTAAAGAATCTTACAGGACAGACAAAAAACAGTGTCTAATTACATTTCTGCTCTTACACCCTATTCCAACTGTAAACAAACAGACAAACCGCTACTAAAGTGAAGTGGTGAAGTTTCCCTGCCACGGAGGTCGCTTGCACCATGTGTATTGCTTTTGGAAAGTACAGTATCGCTTTGCTATGAAGTGCTGTGCAGGTGTCATGTGCCACAGGCTGGGTCCTACCCTTAAATCCTGTAAGAAAAATCATTCAGCAGAGGAAAGAAAAGAAATAAAGGAGAAAAAAAAAATCCCTGCCAAACACAGACTATGCCAATCTCGAAAACATTGTTTTAACTATCTGTGAACAGCAGGAAAAATCAACCCTCAGAGACATTTCACATCTTATTACATCTGGTTTCTATCAGTTTTAGTTCCACTCCCCTAGACCTGGTTCTGGTTTCTATCAGTTTATAGACTCCACTCCCGCTACCAGAACATTTTAATTCCAAACCTGGTTCATTGTGGAGGGAAAAATAAATAAAAAAAAAAAAAAAAAAAAAAAAAAAGGATAAAAAGAAAAGTCTGTCTTCGCGGCGGTTGCAGGGGTACTCCCGTCTCCTCCGTACAGTAATCCTGGCAGCTGGACTCCTAAGGCACCGGGCGCGTTCTCCCCTGCCCGCAATTACGCACCTTAGGAGTGAATGGAGCTGCCGCGCGGTGACGGAGCCGGCGCTGGTTTCCAGTTACAGGCGCTGCCCTGCCTGCCCGCCGCCGCTCTAGCGAGCGAGCTCGGCGGCCGCCGGTGCATCGATTAGCTGAGCAAAATAGGGCTGGAAGCTCATAAATAATTGGCTGAGCCACACCCCGCCCTGCGCGCCGGCGGGCTGCTCGCCCGGCCCGGCCCGTCCGCCCGCGGCAGCGCCGCTTGGCCAGCGCGCAGGGGCGGACGGGACACTGGGGCAGGCGGGGCTGTGTAGGTGGCGCACAGCCGCCGAGGCTCAGGTCGGGAGCAGCCTCCGGCCCCATCCGCGCCCTGTGCGCTGGATCGAGGCAGGGAAACTCGCCGGGAAAGTTGTTGCCCCGCCGGGCGGAGTCGTGCCGGGGCTCCAGCGCGCCCGACGCAGCAAAGCCCGGGCGGCAGGAGCGGACTCGGTCGGGGCCCGCCGTGGCAGCGCTGGGAGAGGCGGCGGGGCTAGGGGGCAGAGCGGGGCAGGGGCAGAGCGGCCCCGGGCTGGGAGGGTTGCAGGGAGCGACCAGGAATGCCGGTAGGTGTCACTGTGAAGAGGGAATGAGGCTGGGCTGTGGGAAGGGGGGAGCCGGGTGGCAGCCAGACCCCTCGGAAGGGATCTTTTCGCCCTCCCCCAACAAGAATTATTTAATCGATTTAAAACTTGGAAAGAAAATGAGCAAAGAAGAGAGAGGAGCAAATGAGCAAAGAAGTAAGAGAGGAAAATTCGAGCGGTGCTTAGATTTAAAGTTCGTTTTCAGAGTTGCTCCAGAAGTTTTACCCCAGCTTTCAGAAGCTTTTTTGCGATGTAGGAGACTGGGAGCTGTATTTGCTCAAACTCATTTTTTCCCCAAGGTATATTGAGCAATATTTCCCATTTGGTGAGATTTGTGCTCTCATGGCAGTGGGACAGTATTGAAAACTTTACCCAAGATGTCTTGAAAATGTGAACTGCAGCGCAGCTCCATTAAAGCCACAAGGATTTTCCAAACAACTTTTTGGGTTCTGGGTTAGGTTTTCCAAAGTTGTCTTTCAAGCATATTATGTGCTGCTCTGACCTGCTGGATGCAAACTACTTCTGAATCAAGATTTCCACCTTCGCAGAGAGAGATGGTCTCTGATCCAGCCAAGGCAGTGCAGGGTAATGTCACAGCATTACTTCAAGGGAGCACATCTTGTGATACACTTGGAGCCATCTCCGACAGCCAGAAATATGTTAACAAGTAAACAAGTACCCACAATGAATCAGAGCACAAGCTTGAGTTACAATTTTGTTTCCAACTGTTAACACACTCTGGCCATACTAACCAAAGCAGTCAATAATACTGATGCATTATAACCAGAGAGCATCTGAATGCAGCACCCTGACTAAACAAATTTTGTCTACACAAGTGGATATTTTTATGGCCTGATTCACCCCAGATTTCAGTACCAGCCTAGTAAAGTTAGTGCTTTATTCAAGCAAGAAAATGCAACATTATGTGGTGCTTATTATCACAGAGAACACAGAACTATGGGATGCTCCTTCCTCTGAAATGGAAAGCCAGATTTGCAGCTGATTCCAGAAAAGAAACAAACCCAGAATTTTTAAAACCTTGCCCACTTCAGATCATGTTTTGAGGATTAATTGACTGATGTCTTCAGATGAACTGAGCTCTCCAGATCATGAATCCTTAAAAAAGCTGATGCTCTTCCAGTTCTCCTCCTTAACACAAATAAACTACTCAGAAATGTGTGAACATTTGCTGTCCTAGAGAGCAGTTAAACTAAGCCATTAATTAGCTTGTTCTCTCCATGGGCAGGCGGTATGGCTGCGAACATGATGCTGCTCATCCCTGAAATGTGGTGCTGTTCAAATGCCTCGGTCTGACAGCAGTGCCCTGGCAAAAGGAAAAGTCACTTGTCTGCGTTGGAAAATCCCCACAACTAAGTGCAATTAGAGATCCCACACCAAGCAACAGAAGTGAATCAGCTAATGCAGTGTTCTCCCTCTTGCTGTGATCTATGTGGAGTGATTCAGAGAAAAATGCACAGAAAACCACAAAGCAAATACAAAATAACTTCTCTTTTAGGAGATTTGGGGGACATGTGAAATGGGTGGCGATACCAGGCAAAGAAAAAAAAGAATGTTACCATGAAATACAACCAGGAATTAAGATGATTCTCTCCTACCCAAATATTTTTGCTTTGATTAAAAAAAAAAGTCTACATTTTTCCTTAAAATTATTAATAATAATTTTCTAGGTAACATCACATATGCTCCTAATAATATAGGATTAGAAAAAAGACAGCAATAAGAATAAGCTCAAGTATGAATCAACATCAGCATTAGTTAAAGTCACTTGTGTTTGTCAGAGCTTTTGTATGTATGGGCACTGGGGAGCCATCTGGCTATCTGCATTTCTTTTTCACATATGCTAGCTACATCACAGATAAAAAGGTAAAATGGAACACTAAGGAAAATTATGGGGCTTTCCAACACTCCCTCAAGGACTTTGGCTTTATAAAATAGCAAATGAACTACAAAGAGACAAATGCAAAACTTTAATATGTGAGATACCATCACACGCGTATATCTGATAGGCAAAGCGAGAGTATGCTAATTTTAAAAACAAAAAGCAAATTGAAACAAGAATAAGCTTGCCATATTGATTTATTTGTATTTAACATGTGCATATGTGCAGGTCAGAGCATGACAATTAACTTTAGAAAGCAGTTTGAACTTCACAGCTGGGCTAAGAGAAATGGTTAAAGTTTTACTTTAGGTGTTTTGTAATAGCATACATTAGCTTCAAGCAAAACTCAGGGAATGGAAATTACTTCTCCCAATTATGAGGTGGGGTTTCAGCATTTACTGGCATGAATCAGCCCTGTGAGTGAAATGAAAAGTATGCAGGACACTTGCTTTCCAGGCTTTCCAGGCCGCGTGTTTTACAGCCTAGCATGGAGATGAGGTCAAATAAATTGGACTCTGCTTTGCAGCTGATTTTTAATCATTCCTCTATTATACAAAGCATACAGTGTGTTGTACAATTTGCTTCTAGTTCTGATTTGTTGCATGTGAGATTTATAACTAAGGGCAGTTATTCCAGGTCACGTCATATATGTGAGGACAGAGTCAGGCCCTCACACTCAGCCTCAGAGTCGGAGCAGTTCTGACTCTTGCAATGTGATCTAAGCAAGCAAATCCCCCTGGCCAAAACAAACAGGGCTGATTTTGTTGTATCAGTGCATGGTGTTTGCTTCTTACCCAAACAAGTCATCCTAATGGACCCAGGCCTAGCTTTAGACCTAAACACTAGCTGAAGCCAGGAACAAGAAAGACAAGAGTATATTTGGGCATTTACATTACATTTGGATTTGGGTTTAGCTGTTTCATTTTGTTTTGATTTGTTTTGTTTCTCCTCACTTAAATTTCAAGCTCCTGAAAAAGTGAACATATTAAAGGAGGCAGTAGGACCAGAAGGAACACAGGTCTGAAAGAAGGAAAACAGAGGCAAAAAAGTAAGAATGATGAAGATGGCAGAGGAGAAAGACACCTCCTGAGAAGCAGTTGGATGGTTAAGGGCAGCACAGTGGAAGAGAATCAAATAATTTAACTGGATTGGCAACAACTAGCCATTATGAAGATTAACAGCCTCGATAATCAGATTCTGCTTTGACCACAAACACAGATCAAGACAAGACCAAATGCCAGCTATTATAAAAAAATGTAGTAAAGGTATGATAAAGTGACCATCAGATGGAATTCATTCCTTTCTTAAAAATCAAAGGGAAGGTGTATACAGTAAATGTCCAGATTTCAAGTGGTGACAGAAAATGCTATTAACTTCTATTTCCTCTGTCCTCATTTATGAGTGCCAAATCACTTTAAAGAAATGTAGGGTCATTGGGTAACCCAATTAATTAATCTTTGTTTATTTTCTTTCTAACAGTTACAAGAACTGGGAAAAGTGTGAAATATATCAACATTTTGTTGTAGGAAAGCTATTAGGTGTTTGCTTTGAAGGTCTACTAATATGAATAGCAGTTCATATTCTTCTTCATAACAAATAGTTCAAAGATTCAAGAGATAATAGAGATAAAGCTACTGGTGACACCACTGTGTGATCAGAGATGGCTTGAGGTCCTTGGACATACTGTGCCCTTACTTGTCAATGGGCTTATTCAGGTGGGTCAGTGTTGGTCTGCTCACGAAGAGTGAAGCTTCCACCAAGGTCAAAACCTTATAAAACTACTGGCATGTAACTAACAATAACCTGTCAAACTGAATTAATCAGTTTACTTTTTACTGTTTAAGGTTCTGTGAAAGTCCATTTGCAGGAGACGATTTGTCTTTTCACTGCTTAAGAAAAATTAGGTGCTTAGGATTGCTGTAACCACACTGATGAAGTACTATGACCTGTAAGGGAGCAGAGGAAAACATTATGCTCTTAGCTTGGTAAAAGTCCAGTTGTCTCATCAAATAGGCCCAGCACTGAGTGGCTTCCCTGGAAGTCAGTGAGTCAGCACTTCATAGTAACCTCTCTAATGACTGTGATTTTGGCAAGGTTGTCATCAAATAAGTCCTTCTGTGTCTGTACACAAGATGTAGGCGTATTCCTGGTACGCTACCAGGCCTTCATGCTTCCCCTTTTCAGTAAGGCAACCACATTATTGCTGTTTCTAGGAGAAATACAGTGTTTTGGTCAGATTTTCTACTTTTTAGCAATTGTGACTAAATGAGGTCAGTGATACAACCAGAGTCACTGTTCTTGCACAAAGCTAGGCTTGAGTTTATAACAAATCATACAAGTCATCATTGTTTTGCAAGTTGATGAGTAAGAATATGTACAAGAAAGATGTGAATGAAAAGGGATGGGTGGTTGATGCACCAAGGATGGCTTCAGGCCAAGCAAGCTACAAATAGAAGAAAGCACAAATACATGAAGGATGCAACAATGTGTAATCTGTGCATTGGAAGTATTGTCATATGGTGTAAGGAGTTCTACGAACACACAGGGAAGTAAAGCAGTAGCATTCACAGAGAAGCTTTTTATCCAAATAGACAAATAGAGGTAGAAGGGGAG